CATGTCCAAATGATTGTGTACTCTATTGGAAAGAATACAGTGATTTACATGTGTGTCCAAAGTGTGGGGCATCACGTTACAAAAGAAAGAGTGTTGATGATGGGTGTGGGGGTAAAAAAGGCTCTCCGACGAAGGTGTTATGGTATTTACCAATAATTCCGAGGATCAAACGTTTGTTTGCAAGTCCAATTGGTGCGAAATATTTGCAATGGCATGCTAAAGGGAGAAAAAATGATGGAAAATTAAGACACCCAGCCGATTCTTCTCAATGGAGGAACATTGATAGAGCATTTCCTGAATTTGGTAATGAAAACAGGAATCTTAGGCTTGGGTTATGCATCGGTGGAATGAACCCCCATGGTAACATTAATAGTCGACATAACACTTGGCCGGTTCTTTTGGTTGCTTACAATCTTCCTCCTTGGTTGTGTTTGAAGCGCAAGTACATCATGCTCTCATTGCTTATTTCAGGGCCTAAACAACCAGATGACATAGATGTGTACTTAGCACCACTTGTTGAAGATTTAAAAATGTTGTGGAACGAAGGTGTGGCGGTGTTTGATGCATATAGTCAAACAAACTTCACGTTGCGAGCCATGGTATTTTGCACAATAAATGGTTTTTCAACATATGATAACTTGTCAGGCTATAATACTAAAGGAGCGAAGGCATGCCCTATTTGTGAAGATGAAACAAGTGATCTTTGGTTGAGCAGCAGTAAAAAAAATGTCTTCATGAATCATCGGATCTTTCTCCCTATTGGTTATCCTTATCGAAAGAAGATAAAGTGTTTTAATGGAAAAGCTGAGACACGAGTTGCCCGCTTTCCTTTGTCCGGGCGTGCGGTTTATGAAAGAGTTAAAAATCTTAATGTTGATTTGGGCAAAACATCTAAACCTGCTGAAAATAATCTTTGGAAAAAAAAGTCAATATTTTGGGATCTACCATATTGGGAGCATTTATCTGTACGACATTGTCTTGATTTGATGTATGTGGAGAAAAATGTTTGTGACAGTATTGTTGGGACATTATTGAATATCCAGGGTAAGACTAAAGATGACATTAAAGCTAGAAAAGAAATGGGAATACGAGATAAGTTAGCACCGCAAGAATCAGGAAAACGGACATACTTACCTCCAGCTTGTTATACTATGTCTGAAAAAGAGAAAACAAGCTTTTGTGGATGTTTGAATGATGTGAAGGTTCCTAAAGGTTACTCATCCAATATTAAAAAACTTGTTTCAATGAAGGATTTGAAGTTGGTTCGTTTGAAGTCTCATGATTGCCATATTTTAATGCAGCACATGTTACCCGTGGCTATTCGAAATGTTTTACCAAAACATGTTAGGCATGCCATTATAAAGCTTTGTTTCTTTTTTAATGTTATTTGTAGTAAAGTTGTTGATATTGAGGTATTGGATGATTTGCAGGCAGAAGTGGTAGTGACTCTATGTGAATTTGAAATGTATTTCCCTCCTTCATTTTTTGACATTATGGTGCACTTAATTGTTCATTTGGTGAGAGAAATTAAGATGTGTGGTCCAGTGTTTTTAAGATGTATGTATCCCTTTGAGAGATTCATGAGGATACTGAAAGGATATGTGAAAAATCAGATTCGACCAGAAGGTAGTATCATTGAAAGTTATGTTACTGAGGAGGTGATTGAGTTTTGTACGGATTATTTGGCAAATGTTGAATCCATCGGTGTTCCTAAATCTTGTCACGAGGGTAAACTTACAGGGAAAGGTACTATTGGGCTTAAAGTAGATTCAGCAAAAGCTGAAATGCGTGATAAAGCTCACCTCCTTGTATTGCAACATGAATCTGAGGTTCATCCATACCTGGACGAACACCTGTCCATGTTAAGGCATGAAAATCCTTCAAAGAGTGAAAAATGGGTGACTAATGAACATAACCGCACATTTATAAGATGGTTCAAAGATAAAGTGATGGGAGAGAAAGCTCCAAATAACATCAGTGAAACCATTAGGTGGCTAGCTTATGGTCCTAATTGGGTTGTGATCTATTATGAAGCATATGAAATTAATGGGTATACATTTTACACAAAACGTAAAGATGATAAGAGTTCTGTGCAAAACAGTGGAGTTACAGTAGAAGCACTATCCAGAGATCACTCTAGTGCCAGAGATACCGAGCCAGTAGATGTTGCTATGCCATATTATGGTGTGATTGAAGATATTTGGTGTCTTGATTATGTAAAGTTTAGGATTCCTCTATTTCGGTGTAGTTGGGTTGATAACAGACGAGGTGTTCGAATAGATGAATTGGGTTTTACTTTAGTAGATTTTGATCAGTTGGGTTATCAGGATGAACCATTTATACTTGCATCTCAAGCAAAACAAGTCTTTTATGTTTCTGATCCTGTTAATAGTAAGTGGTCAATTGTATTACAAGGAAAAAGAAGTATTGTTGACATTGGAGATGTTGTGGATGAAGAAGAATATGATCACTTTGATGAAACACTTCCATTTTCTATTGGCATTCAGCTTTAGGGGAAGATAACATTGAAACAAGTTACATGCGTTGTGATCATGGGGAGGGCTTGTGGATTGATAATCACACATAATCATTTTTTGTTAAAAATTTGTAAGTTTATTTGCTTGTTAAACGATTATTATTTTTTGAAAATTGTATGTTGACATATATATATTGCATGTGCAAATATAATATCATGGTTTATCATTTGCAGTCTACTTCACAACCTACTTCAGAGTCTAAATCATAGCCTAAGTGATGCAGTACATGAATTGAGGCAATAATGGTCAAATGCATGAAGTCTAAGAGACATGGAGTTTGGTGGCTAGTTTTATTGGAAATTGGGATTAGCTTTAAATATTTTTAATATTTGTAATTCTCTTTATGTTTATTTTACCTTTCCATGCATGCTTTTAATATTTGCAACTCTTCTATTTGCTTAGTTTTCTATTTATTTAAGTTTTTGTATTCAGAAGTTCAAGTTTTGAATATTATTGAAAGCCCTTGAGTTTGAATTATATTGTTTGTGTTCTTCTTCTTTTCATTATCCTACATCACTAAGACGAGAAGTCCCACAACCTGCAAGAGATTGAAAAAGAAGAAGGTATATGAAGTAATAAGTGTTGAGTTTGATGAGTATCATAGACTAGTCAGTTAGTTTATGAAGAACTTCAAGTCTTGCATTGGCACTTTGGTTTGGTTGCATTTGGATATTAATATTAGTGATTGACATGAAGTTGACAAAGGGTTGAAGGATACAATTTTGGGATTGTGTTAAGGTATACAATACTTTTACATATTGATTTTTACCTTATTAGTTTAAAAATAAGTATTGACTATTGATTGTGTGAGTTTTTTTCTTGTGTGCAGTTAGAAAGTGTTCAACATTGACGATGATCAACTGAGAGAAACAGTATTAAAGGTTGTTGGGCAGCGGTGGAAGGATTTTAAAACCAGAATAGTGCATGAGTACATTAACAAGAAACACCCAAAATATGGATCTCTATCTGAATTTTATGATTTCATGACTGAAGCATAATGGAATATTTTTAAAGTAAATCTCATGCTTGTGGAGTTCAAGGTATATTTAATTAAGTTATAATAGTTTGAGTGCCTAATTATTTAAATTACCTACATATCACCATATTACTGCATTTACATCTGCATGCCAAATGAAATGAAATGACATGAAATGGTATTGCTACCTTATTCAGATAATTGAAGGTTACAAATGAATTTGTTCCTCATGATGTCATCAACATGAATTTTTTCCTCATGATGTCATCAATTGATCTTCAATTTGTAACATAGATTTCTTGTTTGGTGCTCCTCCCCTTGTTACATAGCAGAAAATTCCAAGTGCTGTCATTGATCACAATTGCCTTGTGAATTGTCTTGACTATTTGGAAGGACTTGAGAAGCTAATGATTTTAATTTCTATTTGCTGCACTGTAACCCTTAAAATTGGTCTGTGTCTATGTTTCATTTCCTATTGGAGAAGTTGAGATTGAGTCATTTGAGTGGGCTTAAAACTTCTAATTGATATTGATTTGCAAGGCTAAGTATAATTCTTAAAACTTCTTCATGAGATTGATTACATTCATTTCATGCATTCTATAAGGCATCAAATCCAAGATTTTACAGTGATCCTGGTGTCAAAGAGAAGGCTTTCAAATCTTGTAGTCAGTCTTCAGGTAATTGTTTTTACCATTTTATTTTAAGATGCCAAATGCTTGCAGAAAAATCATATTCTTTAAAGAAGTTGCAGAACAGTTATGCCTTTCCCCAACAGATCAGAGAATGCAAAGTTCTATAACAGAGAAATTATATTGGACTGATGTTCTTCAACTTGGAGTACATGGAGGCTAAGGTAATGCATTGTTTTTTCTTGTTAAGATGAATTTGCATTTGAGGCACAAGGGAAGAGCTTGTCTAGCGACTAGCAATATGATATTCAATAAAATCAATTGCCTGACTTTTCATAGAACATCAAAAAGTAACATAAAATTTGAGTAGAGGACATATATATTGTTAGTGTTCTTTTAGAAATCAAAGATATCGCTTTTGAAAAAAGTGAGTTTTTTCACTTTTTTTGTGATACTTTAATATCATATCTGCAAAGTTATAGATATAGAAATAATGAAGATAAAGCAGAGTGAATGATTTACTATATGCTATTGATTGAAATAGGTTTTGCTTCAAGTATTTAATGCATACCTCTGTCTTCATGGTTGCCTTCCAGAATTTGGGAGCCATTTCAATTTATATACAGTAAATCCTCCAACTCTCCAAGAAGGGAAAAATGGAATTTGCAAACAGTATCTTGGGTGAGTCCAACTCAAGGAGAATTATGTAGACTAACATTCTTCGTTCTTGGAGCTAATAAACTCAAGCATTGGATAGGTGATGGTGATTTCCTACATCTCAAGTGATTAGTCTTGAGATGTTATTGTTTGGAAGAGTTCCCTTTTGCTTTTGTTCAACAGTTCTGCCTCTCAGTACTTGATATCAATTTGCAAGGCTAATTATAATCGTAAAAACTTCTTCATGAGATTGATTACATCCATTCCAGGCATTCTGTAAGGCATTAAATCAAAGATTTTATAGCGATCCTGGTTTCAAAGAGAAGGCTTTCAAATCCTGTAGTCAGTCTTCAGGTGATTTTCTTTACCATTTTATTTTAAGCTACCGAGTGCTCTAGACTAAGATGCATCTTATTCTTGAAATTGCTTGCAGAACCTGCAAAAATTGTATTCTTCAAAGAGGTTGCAGAAAGTGCTGAAGAATGAAATTTTTTTTAACAGAAAGAATATTAGACTGCTGTTACTTTTTATTTTAACTTCACAACTATTGAACTACTAGTTATATTCTATTAATTCAAAGATAAAAGTATGGGAAGTAGTTAACGCAGAATTCTGAAGGCTAAGATTCTTGCTTACAAAATCAAATACTACTTTACTTTTCTGATCTCATTTTTTTTTCTGCATTATTTTTCACAGATCCTTCAATTTTCCTTAACCTGGTTTTGTCACTGTAGTGTTGTCGAGGAGATAAATAGCTCATGTAATTACTTTCTTTGGTTAAAAGTTAATGATTCCTCATGAATGCAATAAACTTACTACGGCATCATTATAATTACTACTGCAGAGTATCCAGAAGTTGGTAAGAGATGGTACTGAAACATGGGCTCAAGATCTAATGTTGACTGGGGCAAGCTGCCAAGCAGGTAAATTCATATATCATCTGGTGCCTAAATGGGATGATTAATATACTACTTTACATCTCTGTTTCTGTTTCTTTTGTTCTTTGCAATTAATCCCAAGTACAACTATGCTTTTGCAGATTGGTATATGCTATGCTAATTGAATACCTTTTGAAAAATTTTCAAGCTAGAAAGCTGCTAGTCTCAAGTATTGGAGATGTAGAGGTAAGAAGAATTGCTTGGTTATTTTGTTCTGTCTCTATTAGATTGATATTGATTTGCAAGGCTAATTAAGTATAACTTTGAAAACTTATCTTATTAGAATTGACTATAAATAACCTTCATCTTATACATCCTGCATGGATTCAAAGCAAAGATTTGACAGTTATCTGGTTTTAAACAAGGGGTTCAACCCTGAAGTCAGTCTTTAGGTGATATGTAACCATTTTACTTTTACAATTGCAATATGAAATAATCCCCCAAAACTCACACCTCTTTGATTGCTAACAACTCTACTTTTATGCAGTCAAATTTGAGGGGTTAACTAACCACTTAAAAATGCTAGTGGTAAATGGTTTACAACAATGCAGTTAGAGTGGTGAGGAGTTCAGGAAAAAAGTGGCACAGTTCTATGAAATTAGTTGAAGCTAATAAACTCAAGCATTGGGCAGGCGGTGGTGATTTTCCATGTTACGTTTCAAGTGGTTAGTCTTGAGATGTTATTGTTTGGAAAAGTTCTCTTGGTGTTTAACAGAAAATTTGAACCTGCGGTCAATTAAGTTGGACTGATGTGACCGTGACCCTTCCATTGTTGTTTGGTTCTTTTCTCCCCTTGTTAGTAAATTCCAAGTGCTATCATTGATCACAATTGCCTTGTTTCAAAAACTGCAGTGGGTATTCTTTGACAGACAAGTAATTTCTCATTTGCAGGCCATTAAATAAGACTTAGAGCCCAAATTCACTTGTGGATCGTGCAGTAATCCCATCATTTTGGATAATCTTGACTATTTCGAAGGGCTTGAGAAGCTAATGATTTCAGCTGCACTATAACTCTTCAAATCAGTCGTCTATGTTTCCTTTCCTACTGGGGAAGTTAAGATTGAGTAGGCTTAATCTCCCGGAGAGACATTTAACGGTAATTGGCATGTGGCACCAGCTTAATGTGCTCAATCTAGAAAGTGCTTTCGATGGAAAAGTATGGGAAGTAGCTGAAGGAGGATTCCATGAATTAGGATTATTGCTTCTTGAAGCTAAAAACCTGGGCCAATTGAAGGCTAATAAATATTCCTTCCCACATCTCCGGTGCTTATGTCTAAGACTAAGTTATTGTTTGGAAGAGATTCCTAGTAGTTTTTCATATATTTTGCAGTTAATTGAGTTGAAACAGTGAAACCCTTCTGTTGTCACTGTTGACAAGCAAATTCAAGAAGGGCTGCATCCATTACAATGAAGAATGTTTGAGGTTAGAAGCTACATCATGCATGCTTCATTCTTAATTTATTTTATTTTACAGTTACTCTTTCATTGTCTAACCTCATTTTGTTCTCGCCATTTTCCGTAGATCAAAATCGATGAGCTTGAATATGAACAATCACCATATCCACATGTACAAGAGGACTTAGCGGAGATCACAGTGAATAACTACCATTTGAAAATGGTATGTACACCGAAACGTATCAGCTAAATAATTCCAACATACTATAAGATCTAAGTATAAAACATGACTGGCCCCGGGGCATAGCTTGGTGGATGAAGACTGAGTTTGTGGTAATATCCAGCGAGTACCCTGTAAGGGGTGGGACACCCGGGTCAGTGCAAAACATTATATTTCGCATTCCTTAACACCGCCAAAACTTTCTCATTTGCCAGGGCATTAAGGATAATTATATTGAGAGCTGTGGGTTCCTTGTGGATGTAAGATGCTATTGCAGAGTACAGGAAAAGATTGGCACAACTTTTTTATGAAATTAAATAGAAAAAGGTTTTGAAGCAACTTGGAGGGAAAATGTATTGAAATTTCCTTGTTTTGTTGAGATGAATATGTATCTGTTACATACAACAAGTTTCATGTAATACTTGAATGTCATATCTGCAAATTTATAGGTATTGACTAAATAAAGATAAAGTAGGATGGCCCCCCTTTTTTTTTTTTTTTCCACATCTTATTGCAGGCTGCAAAAATATATAAGAGGCTAATTTCCATGTGATGAGAATGTGTATCCCAAACTAGATAGCCATTTGGGATTTGTTGTTGATGATAGGGACAAAAGACATTTCTTTAGTTTCTTTGCTCTATTACTTGATTCCTCAGGAAGCAGGAAGAAGAGGGGACTGAAGAGGAGAACTTTTGTTTCAATAATTGGGAACACACATGTTGAATTCTAACTTTAAATCCTAAGTGGCTTTGCTCTAAATCCAGCTCTGTGAGGAGAATTTTTGTTTTTGTTTTTATTTTTTATTTATTTATTTATTTTTTTTTGGGGTATGATGTGTTATATGTATAGAGGGGCTTGCCAAGTAACCAGAAGAATTACTCAATTTTATTCAAAGTAATTCTCTTTTCTAGCTTTCCAAATCAACAAGTGCATATTATACCATATACCAGGATCCAAAATAACATTTATTAGATTATGTATTTGTTGTTAAAATATTATGTAATTTAGTTAACAGATTATATATTTGCAAATAAATTGAAGGTATGTAATAAGTACATAGTACATAATGTTAATTGTAATAGATACATAATTTATTAACTGAATGTATATATATATAATATATTAACTGTAGATACATAATTTGGACAAAGTTTATCATACACAAAATATAATTGATCAACAAGCATATCGTATCAATCCTCCCAAATATATCTTCTATAAGTCTACTGAACTATTCAAATCACATTTTTTTGGTATTTAAGAAAAAAAATTACAGCCTGGTTTCCAGTTAGGCATGAAAGGATCAAAACCATTATATTCTTAAAAAAGGTGCAATCTTCAAATATGCACTTGTAATATGTCTCAATAATTTCCGCATGCGACTAAATTGGCACCCCTAAAAGAATTGTTCACTAATAAGTTATGTTTTTAATAATTTTTATATTAGTTTGAAATTATACACTATAGAACTCCATGCCTGCTAAGCTAAGCTATGTCTTGCTCTCATTTAATCACTACTAATAGGCATTTGCACTCATTTTACATTTTCACTTAATCATAAATCAGTTGCTCGTAGGGTAGTGAATAAGTGTAAGTTATATTATTATAAGTAGTCGCTATGGGAATTGAAGTTATATATTTTTAAAAAATGTATCTTTTATTAAAATGAATGAGATTATTTTCTTATTAGAAAAATATGTTTTTTAAACAATGAATAAATAATATTTCACGATATCAACTAATTAATAAATATTGATAAATCAATTAACTAATATACCTACTACAACACCTAAACTTACAATAAAAATAAAATAAAATGATGAATAACTTTATTGAAAGGATGGAAATTATATAACATAATAGAATCAATTTTAATGAGACTTGAACAGATGATTAAAGGTTCAATCTATCTTAAAATATAATTAAAGTTAAAAAGATAACATTACTATCAATTTACTGTACAATTACAGCGTGTTTGATGCATGGAATAGGGCGGGAATGGAATACCATTTCCGGGAATAGACCTATTTCATTGTTTGGTTTGTCTTTTCAGTTTTCATGGCTGAGAATAGCATTCCCGGGAATGAGGTATTCCCTTTGCAGGGGGAATAGCCATTCTTAGAGCCCTGGTATTAGCTATTCCCAAGTATTTGGGAATTACTTTTGTACTCTAATACCGAAAATACCCTTTTGTATAATAAATTACACTTTTGGTCCTGTGACTATTAGAGTACTGATAATTTGAGTACGTGACCTTTAAAACTCTCAATTTAGACCTTTAACTATGCAATTATTAGCAAATTTGATCCTGCCGGCCAATTTTGACCGGAAAAACATAATTTGGTTCGAATTTATTTTTGATGAGGGCAAAACCGTCATTGCAAGTGAAATGAAATTTGTCTATTCTCCATTTTTATGTTTGTAGAAGACGAGACGAGACGAGAGAGGAGCTTGAACGTTTAAGCACGCATACAATTTGTTGCTCAGATCAACCAATAATTTGTAAAAGAAATGGATCTTAATTTGATTGAACCGAAATCATATAACTAGCTCTTGGATTCTGCTTTTCTTCATGAGAGGCTGTACGCCCCCCCCCCCCCCCCCATTTGTGACAAATCTTGGAGGATGAGTTGGTAGCAATCCTCCACTTTCTCCTGCAACATATATAACAACAACAAACATCATTTCTAGGACGATTCAAGATTGTGAAGATTAGAAGGCACACACTAATAAGACCAAACTTGGTTGATTTTGAGGACACCCAGAAGTTGGTTTTGGTAGTGGTCGGCATTGCAAGGCGTAACTTGACGAATGACGTGAAGCATGGTTGAAGCGGCCAATACAGAGGGCAAATAGCGTACCAATCTTGAATCTACAAACCCAAAATTAATACTTGCATTTGGATGTGGGCGGCGGCGGGCAATGAAAATGAAGAGCAAAAATTATAAATCTACAAACCCAAAATTATTACTTGCATTTGGATGTGGGCGACGGCAGGCAATGAAAATGAAGAGCAAAAATTACAAATTATATTACATACCAGGAATGAGAGAGAGGAGGAGACACTCACATCTTCTGAAGAACTCCCAGTGAAGATGGTTCTTCAATCCAAGTCTCCTTATAATGTGATCAAGAAAGGAGAGTGGGGTAAATGGGTTCATCCTCCATTTCAGCGTCGACAGCACCACAAGCTCCATTCTCTGGTCTTCGCTTCAAACACATATTTTGCATCCTCCTAATTTCACTTGCAATGACAGTTTTGCCCTCATCAAAAATAAATTCGAACCAAATTATGTTTTTCCGGCCAAAATTGACCGACAATTTGACCGGCAGGACCAAATCTGCTAATAATTGCATAGTTAAAGGTGTAAATTGAGAGTTTTAAAAGTCACGTACTCAAATTATCAGTACCCTAATAGTCACACCGCTACCACCGCCATCGCCAACGCCGCTACCACCAACATCGCCATCGCTGCCTCCGCTACCACCACCACTAGCACCACTGCCATCGCCGCCGCTGCCACCGCTACCACCACCACCGCCGCCAATGCCGCCACCACCACCACCACTACCACCGCCACCACCGCCTCTGCCACCGCTACCACCGCCACCGCCACCACCACCACCACATATTTTAAGGGTATTTATGTCTTTTAAAACATATATCATTTCTATTCCTTAACCAACCAAACGCTGTAATATAATTCCTAAAGTCTATTTCTTCCACGAACCAAACAATAGAATACAATTCATATTCTCTGTTCCTTACCTATTCCATTCCTTATGGAATAGCATTCCTATTACCTCAAAATTCATTGTGTGAACCAAACGTGCTGTTAGAGTTGCTACAATATTTGGGAGAAGAGTTACTAAAATATTGCAATATATATATATATATATATATATATATATAGTGGCGGATTCAGAAAATCATCTGAGTGGGGGTGAATATTAAATGACGTTAGAAATGTCAATGACAAAATATCAAACAACCATAATAAGGTTAAAATACAAAATACAAAATGCCTGGAAGAAGCTTAACGTTGATGCAGCGCTTGATGTTAATAGTGGAAAGATGGGTTTCGGTTTCGTTATAAGAAGTGATGATGGCCGCTTCATTGCAGCCAGAGAAGTCCGATGGTTAGGAGTGTTTAAGCCGGACGAAGCTGAAGCTATTGGAGTGCGTGAAGCGCTGAAATGGTTGAAGGAGCTCAACATGGAGTTCGTGCAAGTTGAATCTGATTGTAGCAAGGTGATCACTGCCATTAATTCACAGCAGCTCATTTCTTCCTTTGATCTCATATTAAATGATGTTAGAAAATTAGCTTTAAGTTTTTCAAACTTATGCTTTTTATTTGCTAAACGGTCCGCGAACAAGTCGCCCATTTGTTGGCTCGGGAGGCCTTGTCTAAGTCTGGCTGTGAGGACCGCTTTTTGGTTCCTTTTGTTTCTGTTGTTCACGCTTTGGCGTTTGACTCTACTTAATATATTCGGCTCGTTTTTTATTTTCAAAAAAAAAAGTTAAAATACAAAATACATTATATATTACAATATATTTATGAGAAAATATGAAACATAATCAATTAGATAAGATAATTTGAGCACTCAAACAATGGAATCCGGTGAACTAGAGCTTGGGATGAACACAAGTTGGCTAAGAAAAGAGTAGAAGTAGAGTTTCGAGAGAGAAAACAGAATGATTTAAAACCCAGAACAATCGCTGCCACTCTTGTTGGCCAATTTTCTGGCTAAGAAAAGAGTAGAAGTAGAGTTTCGAGAGAGAAAACAGAATGATTTAAAACCCAGAATAGTCGCTGCCATTCTTGTTGGCCAATTTTCATGCCCGCATACACGAGTCAAGCCTTTTCAGGCTCATTTTGAGATTTGATTTGCACCAATTTACACTTTCTTTTCATAGCGCGGAACCACAAAACCCTCAGGTCGTTCCATCACTTCCATGTCTATTAAGAAAGCGGTTTTACACATCCATTTGATGAACTTCCAAGTCTCGCAGTGCAACTATGGCAAGTATCATTGTAATGAATTTTATTCTCATTACGAGAGAATACGTATCGAAGTAACAGTAGCACTCGCGTTGCATGTAATTCTCAATTACAAGCCCAGACTTGTACTTCAATTAAACCAATCGGTTTTATCTTTTGACTAGTGATCCATTAGGATCTAAAGGTTTAACAACCCGGGCGAAAATCAACCAGTTCCAAATATAATTCTCTAAGATAGAATCTACTTCACTTTTTGTAGCCTCTTTTCATATTGGTCCATCCATAGAAGTCA